CCAGATCTCATTACAGATGGTTGTGAGCCACCATGTGGTTGCTGGGAATTGAACTCAGGACCTCTGGAAGAGCAGCCAGTGCTCTTAACCTCTAGAGCCATCTCTCCAGAAGATACATTCTTACATATGGCAAAATCATATCTAGAATGTCCAGAAGATGTTCTAGGACAGTGTGTGTGTGTGTGTGTGTGTGTGTGTGGTGTGTGTGTTGTCTGTCTCTGTGTGCACCCATATGTCTACACTTTTTGGAAGTTCTTTTTCAAAACTGAAGGTGTTTGTGGGTTGCAACTACCTCTAAGTAACTTTATTAGAATTATTAGAAGTTCAGCAGTTGAACTGTATAATATAGTGAAAGGACACTTGTAACTTGTTAGCTTTATGATCTGGCAAATCACTTATCTTTCTAGATTTCCCTTTAGTGTCTGTGTCTTGAGTACATTGACTTAAATGAGTTCTAAAGTCTTTCCAATTAAAAATACTGTGCAAAGCTTCCCCAAATTAGATTAAATTGACTTTAATGAATGTCTTTGTTACTTTTCTGTTACCATGATAAGATACCATGACCAAGGCAGCTTATAGAAGGAAGAGTGTTGTAGCAGGGGCTTAGAGTTTCAGAGTGTGAGTCAGTGACCGTCATGGCTTGGAGCATGTCAACAGGTAGGCAGGCATGGAACTGGAGCAGTAGCTGAGAGCGTACATCCTGATCCATAAGCACAAGACAGAGAGAGAGAGAGAGAGAGAGAGAGAGAGAGAGAGAGAGAGAGAGAGAGAGAGAGATGTACTTTAACTGGGAATGGCCATAGGCTTTTGAAACCTCACAGACCACCCTCAGTGATGCAATTCCTTCAACTGGGGACAAAGATTTCAAACATATGAGCCTATGGGGGCGATCTCATTCAAACCACCACAATGAGAAAAGAGAAAGGTGGAAAAAAAGGTTTTATTGTATTAATTAATTTATTAATTAGATTTATTTATTATGTGTCTGTATACATGCTTATTTATATGTGTGCCTGGTGTGCTGGCTATTATGTCAACTTGTCACAAGTTAGAATCATCAGAGAGTAAGGAGCCTCAAGAAAATGCCTCTAGCTGGGTGGTGGCGGTGGTGGCAGTGGTGGCAGTGGTAGCTCACACCTTTAATCCTAGCACTCTGGAGACAGAGCTAGGTGGATCGCTGAGTTCAAGACCAGCCTGGTCTACAGAGTAAGTTCCAGGACAGCCAGGGCTACACAGCAAAATTCTACCTCAAAAAAACAAAACAGAGGAGGAGGAGGATGCAGGGAAGAAGAAAGGAGGAGAAAAAAAGCAGCCGTATCTATAAAATTGGGTTGTAGGCAGGCCTTAATTAGTGGGCATTTTCTTAATGAGTGTTTGATGGGGGAGGTTCTATAAGAAAGCAGGCTGAGGGCGGTGGTGGCGCACGCCTTTAATCCCAGCAATCGGGAGGCAGAGGCAGGCGGATCTCTGTGAGTTTGAGGCCAGCCTGGGCTACATAATGAGTTCCAGGAAAGGCGTAAAGCTACACAGAGAAACCTTGTCTTGAAAAACCAAAAACAAATAAACAAACAAACAAAACAAAACAAAACAAAAAAGGAAAGCAGGCTGAGCTAGTAAGCATCACCCCTCTATGACCCTGCATCAACTCCTGCTTCCAGGTTCCTGCCCTGCTTGAGTTCCTATCCTGACTTCTTCCTTCAGTGATGAGCAGTGATGTGGAAACATAATCCAAATAAACCCTTTTCTCCCCATGTTGGATTTGGTCATGGTGTTTCATCACAGAAGTAGAAACCCTAACTAAGAAATTGAGTATGGAGGGTGAGCAATGTGCCGTGTGTGCTTGCATAGGTCAGTTGCCGGCTTGCATCGGTGGATTTCTTTTCACTTGGTGGGTCCTAGGGATGGAGCTAAGGCCATCAGGCTTGGTGTCCTTACACAGGAACCATCTTGCTGGCCTGGAAAGAGAAATTCTAGCCTGTTTATTTCTAAGGTTCTGACTACATCAGTGTAGTCTCATTCCAGTAACAAGGGAAAGCTTATCTGTCACTACATTTTGGAATTTTCCTGACTTAACCAAATACAGTTTATCATTTGGAGACTTGCTTTCAACAAAAACTTCTAAGGATGACTTGGTCTTAAAAAGAACTTTGTGAGCTTTATAGGAGTAGTACTTTGTTGTTCATAATCTTGGCAGGGCTCAGCACTCCTCTGAAATATTTCTGGTAGTCCCGGAGACAGAATAAAAAACCCCACAAATATTTAATTAAAGAGGAAAATTATTATCAAACTTTCCTGGTTTTCCTCTTGCTTTAAAGATTAAATACAGCTCCTTTAGTATGGTGTCCTAGATGTGCTGTGCACTGACTTCTGTTTGAGTCTCTCATAGCTACCCTTCTTAACCTCTCAGCAGCGCTTCTACTGATCAGACAGTCATGCCCTGCTGTGTCCCAACACTCCAGCCCTCTTGCCTGTACTAGGAACAGTTCCTCTTCTTCGCCACTTGTTTGTAGGGCTCAGCTGAGTTTCCCTTGGCCACAGCTTTCCTACTCAGGTAACCACTGCTTCTGTCTTGCATGCACAGCCTCTGGTGTCTCTCCATTAATCTGACACCCAGTCTGTGCTCTGTTAGTAAAAAACTTTTCTCTCTCTCCACCTGGCCTGTAAATGCCATTAGAGTACATATGTACTCTTCTGGTTTTCTTCTTTTACTATTTTTTTCCCAGACAGGATTTCTTTGTATAGCGCTGGCTATCCTGGAACTTGCTTTGTAATTGATGTTTTACAAATTAACAGAGTAATATTGTTTACATAACAAGTGAAACAACACACATGCACCCAGGCACAAACCAAAAAAACCAATAATGATTGAACTAGGGGCCATAGAAGCATTTTATAGACTTTCGCCTATTTAGTCCTCAGTAAAGTAGGTCTGACTGTTACCCCTATTTACAGATGAAGGCACTGAGGTACTAGAGAGATGGAGTAATGCAGAATCAGGTACCTGCAACAATTTATTAGCAAAGGAGTTTTACTGTAACACATTTACCTGTTTATGATGTCTGTGTCTTCTTTCATATTACAGTGGCAGAATGAACTGCAAAACCTAGAATAGTCACTGTCTGGGCATCTACTAGAAAAGGTCGCTGACCTCTGCCCAACCCTAAGTCATGAGAGTAAAAGAATAAGATTTGAACCTGGCTGGTGGGATGCCGAGTCTGTGCCCTTAACCTCTTCATCATGCTGCCCCCCTCTTACCAGTCTACCCTCAAGCCACTCTCAAGCCACCAGAGCCGTGAACTGTACGTTCTGCAAGCAGGAGGACCTGAGTTTGATCTCAGGCATTGTGCGCACTTGTAGTCCCAGCACTGGGGAGGTGGAGGAGATCCCTGGTGCTTGCTGGCCAGGCAGTAACCTAATTAGTCAATCCAGGGCAGTTGAAAGACCCTGTCTCAAAAAACAAAGTGATAGCACCTGATTCATAATAGCTTAAGGGTTGCCTTTGGTGGCCACTTACATGTCTACATACATGGTTGTATACCCACACATTTGTGTACCTACACACACAGGAGCATACACATAGCACACAGAGAACTTTTCTTACTTCTTTTCATGCTTTTAAAAATTATTTATAAAAAGAGACAGTTTGATGTTTAGATATGGCACATGATAGAAAAGCCACAGGTGAATGAAGTTGCTAGTGTGGTAACTGGAATAGATGATAATTTACTTGTCTAGGATTGAAACTGGGGACCATTCTTTAAGTAGGGTGGCAGAGATAACTGAATTTCGGGGTCTACAAAGTAGTATAGGAACAGCTGCCCAGCTATTAGAAGTGTAGGCAGAGAACATAAGTTGGAAATTGAAGTCTTCTCTATAGGCTATAAACTGAAGCTGTGAGGATAAACAAGATTATCCAAGAGAACTAAGAATAGAGAAAAGGATTGAAAACAGACTCCAGGGGAGGACAACTGGTTAAAAAAAAAAGAAAGAAAGAAATGGACCGGGCGTGGTAGTGCACCCTTCAATCCCAGCACTTTGGAGGTAGAGACAGGAGGATTTCTGTGAGTTGGAGGTCAGCCTGGTCTACAGAGTGAGTTCCAGGATGGGCCGGGACTACACAGTGAAACCTTGTTCAAACAAAGAGGACTCATGCATTGGGGTGGGAGTCAGGTGTGTAGGGATGGATGAAAGCTGAAATGGTGTTAGGAGGTAGGAGTTTAGTGCAGTAACTGAGGTTTTTGCTCAACACAGAACAAGGTCCTGTGGTTTGATTCCCAGTTCTGCCAAAACAACAAAACAAAATAGTGTTAAGACAACTTGAGGGAGAAATCTGGATCCAGTGTCAAACGCTGCAGAGAAGGTACGTATTGGTGAGGGATGAGAAGCAGTGGTGGGACAGATGTGCATAGTGACTTTGGAGAGAGCAGTGGAAACAAACAGAGTAAGATTCAGATTCCAGAGAAGTCTGAGGCGAGTGTGAAGAGAGGAATGAGGTTATATAATTAGACTTCCAGTTTTGCCTCAGATCAGTGGGTCGTTGAAATAAATTGTTTTAATCCTTAATTACTTGAGTAATTGCCTGCCTTTCTGTTCTACCTTGCTTGTGTGAAGATCTGTTTTAACACAGTATCCAGAGCCCTGTTTTCTTTTGATTACCAATAAATGTATTAGATTTGAAGTCTTAAAAAGTCTTTCCATCCTTCTGTGGTAAATGTTGGTGAGCTGAATATATTCATGAATACTGATTTTTTTTTCATCTATTTTTTTTCTTTCAGAGCACAATTTTCCCATCCCAAATCACTAATGAGCATGAGTCACTGGTAATGGTGAAGAAACTTTTTGCTACTTCTATCTCATGCATAACATATTTGAGGGGCCTGTTTCCAGAGAGCTCTTACAGAGATCGCCATTTAGATGGTAAAGTTGAGTTAAATGATTGCTTTGGCTAGTGTCCCTTTGCTACTTAGCAGGAGGAAACCTTCCCCCTTTCACAGAGTGCATTAATTCTAACTCAGGGGCATGTTCTTCAGGATCAATTTACTAATCCATTTTCCATTTTAATTTTGCTATGTGTATTGGTTTTATTTATAGGAGCCATTCACTTCCAGCTAGTTATCAAATGAAAAAAGAAACTTGTAGAGCTAAGTCTAGTAATTGTACACTATCCCTATAAAAGCCAGAACAAAAGTCTGTCTAAATGCTGAAGATTTACATTATTTTGTGCCTCAGTTGAATTTGTTCTTTGAGGTATACATTTTGACCTTGAGGAAGTTCAAAGGAGTCAGGTGAGAAACTTCTCCCTATTAACATATAAATATGCCTGGGAGAGGCAAATCCATTTGTTGATTAGCATGGATATTTAGACAGTTATTTTAATCAGTTCTGTTCTTTTTACAATAGCCAGTCCTGCCTCTTCATTTTATTGTTTTTAGTGTGTGTGTGTGTGTGTGTGTGTGTGTGTGTGTGTGTGTGTGTGTTTAATGCATAGACATGTGTGGCCATGTAGGTCAGAGGACCAGTTTTAGTCAGTTCTGCCCTTTCATTATGGTTTTCCCAGGAGTGATCTCAGGTCTTTCTGGCTCCTTAGAAGAAATTGTACCAGAGGCTCTTCAGTTTTTCAAAATCTTATGATTTGTTTGAAAAGTTGAGTTGTGGATCACATGTGGTGGTGTATATCTTTAATCCCAGTACCCAGGGATAGGCAGGAAGAGCTCTGAGTTCAACTCCAGACTGGTTGATGTAGAGAATTGTAGCCCAGCCAGGGCAACATAATATGTCCCTGTCTTAAAATGCCAAATCAAGCTAGGCAAGGTGGGTTACACGTTTAATCCCAGCACTCCGGAGGCAGGCGGATCTCTGTAAGTTCTAGGCCAGCCTGGTCTACAAAGTGAATTATGGGACAGCCAGAGCTATCTTGGGAAAACAAACGAACAAAACAAAAACAAAAACCCAAGTCAAAACAAAACAAAAAACTAGCAAGATGGCTCAGCCAGTAAAGGTGTTTGCCATCAAGCCTGGTAACCTGAGTCCAGTTTCCAGAACCCACATAGTGGAAGGAGAAAACCGCTCTCGGAGTTGTCCTCCTTCCTCTCCATGTGCTGTAGCACAAACCAGTGAGGCTGGAGAGCCAGCTCCATAGTGAAAAGCCCTGACTGCTCTTCCAGAGAAGCCGGTTCAATTTCTAGCACCTACATGGTGCGTCACAACCATCTTTAACTCTAGTTCCAGGGGATGCAGCACTCTTTTCTGGCTTCTCTAGGCACCAGACACACAGAGTGCACAGACATACATGCAGGCAAGACATCCATACACATAATAAAAATAAAATAAAATTTTTTTTTTTTTTTTTTTTTGTTTTTGTTTTTCGAGACAGGGTTTCTCTTGTGTAGCTTTGCGCCTAAAAATAAAATAAAATTTTAAAGAGCTTTGTTTTAAGTTTTGTTGATTAATCACTAAAATGGGAACTATCATTTGGGAAATAAATATAGAGAACCACACATTTCCTTTTAAAATGCTATTTTTCCTAATCTAATTGGAAATTTCTCATGTTTATATTTAATAATATACCATGGCTTCATTTCAGTGTTATTTTCTTAAGCAATATTGATTCTCCAAATGAACATCAGTGAAATGTGTGTTTGCTATAAACACATAAACATGGTACTTGTAATCATGGCACCTTTCTTTGTGTTAATGACTTCTTTTAACTTATGGGATAGATCTATAAGATTTAATGTGTTTACAGGTAGCATATAATTAGTTTCCCCTCCTGTTTGGAACATAGAATTATAAAAGAAGACATGCTTTGGTAAATTAAATGCTTGTTATGTCATTACTACTGCTGACATAAAAAACACAGGTCTTACCTCAAAAAGTAAAGAGATAGTTTATTCTAGAGCCAAATGTGAATAACACAGATTTAGGTTGCTGCCAACCCCAAATCCATGTTCCAGTGTGGAAGTAGTTTCATGAAGTTCTCTTAGTAACAGAAGAAAGAAAGTCAAATCAAGACAGTTTCAAACACCTTGGTGGTAGGGGGTGTAGCAAAGTGGGGAAATCTCTGCTGTCAGCCTCAGGTGCTGTCTGCTGACATTTTCAGCTTTTGTGTTAGTGTAAGCTAGAGAGTCTGTTGGTATATTCCAAAAAGACTCACCTAATATACCCAAGGGCATTAGCTCATAAACTGAGGTTAGGCAATAAATGGCTATTAAGGGGACTAGAGATAGCACAAGATATTTAGTTAGGCTCTGGCCCTTCAACTTTCCAACCTTTCCACAATCATTGAAGTTTTAATCAGTCAGCCTTATAAAGCACACCTTCTTTCTAGGAACATTGGCTCATACTACCATAGGCATGGTGGGAAAACCATTGCTCATAGTTTCATTTTTTTTTGTGACTGTTAATAGTAGAATGTTAATAGTAGAAGTCAGTCTCCCTCAGTGTATTTGTATTTAAAGTGACATGTCACAAAAATGTTCAGTTGTAGATGGAGTTTTTCGTTGGAACTGCTGGTCAGCTCCCAAATAAGCACACAGAGACTTATTAATTATAAATGCTCAGCGTATAGCTTAGGCTTGTTACTAACTAGCTTTCAACTTAACCCATATTTCTTAACTGTGCTCTACCATGTGGTGGTACCTTTTTTCAGCACGGCATGTTCATCTTGCTTCTCTCTGCCCTCCTTCTTCCCTGCACTCTTTGTCTGCAAGTCCTGCCTAATTTCTGCTTGCCCAGCTATTGAGCAGGTAGCTCTTTATTAACCACAGAGTAATACTTACTCAGTGTAGAGAAAGATTGTTCACAGCATGCCATATTTATATGGTACTCTACTTTTTAATAATCTCTAAGTATTTGTCAAATTAGAATAATTTTCATATCCCCCAACAATAGTGGAAGTGATGTTAACTTTAACATCAGAAAACAATATGAAAAGATGAAAGACTCTGGTCTGAGAGCTGGTGAGATGGCTCAGCAGGTAGAAAGGTACTTGCTGCCAAAGAAGATATGAGTTCAATCCCTGAGACCCACACAGCGTAGGAGAGACTCCTCTAAGTTGTCTTGTAACGGTTACACATGCAGTGTGGCACATTAATTCATAAATTAATGAATATTTCAAAATTCAAGACGTTCCTATTAAATCATACATGAGTCAATGATTTTATACTGATTTCAACCCAAAATTGTAATGTCTTCCTTTTCTTCCCTAATATAGAGAAGTAGTTAGATTTCACATGGAAATTTTTGAGAATAATTTATACATTTGTGTTTAATTTTTTTTTCATTGAGAGGTAAAGAAATAATAAAGAATTAAATTGGGACTATGTTTAAATTGTCACTTGAGATGATCTCAGTGACACCTTAGATTACTTAGAAGGAAACAAAGAAGTAATAGAAACCAACTTTGCAATAAACCCAGCTGGGTTACACTGTAGAATAGGAAGTCTGCCAAACTGCCTCCAAAATTAGGACTAAGATAATTATCAACAGAATTTATTTTTAAAGTAGGTGTTTAGAAGTTTAAAAATGCACCAGGTGGTGGTGATGAACACCTTTAATCCCAGCATTCAGGAGGCAGAGGCAAGTGGGTCTCTGTGAGTTCAAGGCTAGCCTGGTCTACAGAGCTAGTTCGATGACAGCCAGGGCTACAAAGAGAAACCCTGTCTCGAACCCCCACCTCCCCCCCCAAAAAAAAAACAAAAGAAAGAAAATGCAAGAAATGCTCTATTTGACATGGATTTTTCAGTACAAACAGTTGTGTTTCTATATTTTTAGACCTCAGTTTAAAAATTCTCCGGGAAGACAAAAAGTGTCCTGGGTCATTACATATTATTAAATGGTAAGTAAATTTTGTAAAATTTAAACAACATTTTTGTCATGACTGAAATAACCCGTAAAACTTTATTTTGTAAAATCATTTCCTTAAACCACTTTTCTTAGTCCTCTTTCCTGGAAATTGTAGCAACTATTCAGTGTTATTTTAAACTATCGATTCTGTTTTAGAAGAAAATGGGCTTGTCTAGAGATTCTACATTTGATTGTTCATCATATGCATATCTGTACTAACACTGTGGTGAGGGGAAGAGAAAACACACTCTGCGCTTCAGAACTGCATGTGTGTTTTTATAACACTCCATAAATATATGGAAAGATGTTGGGAGTTTTAAAAGGTGATTAAACAGAAAACATAAAATGATTGTTAATTTATATACTTCAAAATAGAAGTGTAGCCGGGCGTTGGTGGCGCACGCCTTTAATCCCAGCACTCGGGAGGCAGAGGCAGGCGGATCTCTGTGAGTTCGAGGCCAGCCTGGGCTACCAAGTGAGCTCCAGGAAAGGCGCAAAGCTACACAGAGAAACCCTGTCTCGAAAAACCCAAAAAAAAAAAAAAAAATAGAAGTGTAAACTAATTATATACTTGGGTTTATTTTTGGCTGTTCACGTGGTCCAAAGTGACATTGGATATTTATTTCTTAACAGGATTCAAGGTTGTTTTGATGCTTTGGAAAAGAGATACGTAAGAATGTTTTACAATTTACATCAGGATTAAAGATTCACCTTTTACCTTTTAAAAAAGTTTAGATTTTTATTGTGTAGTGTTTAACAGTGTAACAGTGCCCACCTTTGTATTCACCAGTCAGTTTTCTTTTGTCTTTGTTGTCACACTGATGTCTCCCTTAACATCAATTAGAAACGAAAGCTTCATTCTCCTCTTTTCTATACTCATATCTTTTTTAACCACAGTTTCCTCTGAAGTCATTGGACAAGATCCACAGGATGTGGGTTAGGGAAGACAAGAATCTGGTAGTTAGCACATTGAACATGTTCATAATAGTGGTAATTCAGTTTGCAGATGGGTAAGGAAAACATAGTTAAATGATGAATTTTTACTGTTTTATTTTGGTAACTATAACTCATGTGTGTAACTGATTTTTTTTGAAAATACAGGTCAAATTTTATGTGCATATGCTCTCTCCTGCTTCCCTAGACAGGAAGAGTGTGAAAAATACAGGCTCTAGGCCTGCGTGAAGAGATCAGATGCATATAAATGACATTGCTGCCATTGTGCTCCCTTTACTTTCCCTGTGTCTTTACTCCAGCTCCCATTTAAGAAATGTTGATGGGACTAAGCTTTTATTCAATTATTTAGTGTAGTCATATATTCCTTCTCTTGAGTGAACAGTTATTATTCCCGATTTATTCCATGCTGACCCAGGGGACAGAGGGATACAAAGATAAAACAGGGAAGGGAAGGGTTTATAGACCATGGCAGAAGGTGAGTGGTGCTCATATGAGGGCTGATGATTGGCAGTTACACACTGGCCCAGCTATACCTGTTGCTAAACTGTTGACAGCACTTCTGTATCAATGGGAAATTGCTTTTTAGAGTCCTTGTGAATTCCTCCCAACACCTTTCCCCTTATCCCACCGGAGTTTCTTTTGAGAGCTCCCTAGACTTCCATAAAGGCCACAAATTAAAGACTCTAAAAGTTGTTCTTAGGAACCCAGCTCTAGAGCTAGGTTTGCACCCTTTCTGATGGGTCAATACTTTTGTTATATTGGACTTGATGTTTTCCATGTCAGTTTGATACTTAAAAATACAGAGATATTTTGACATCACCCTATCACAGCATGAGGAACAGTACTACTCCTAACTGTATATCCAAAGGAAAGGTGGAGAATCTGTGCAGCAGGAAAGCATAACAAAGGAGGGGTTCCACCCGGCAGAGATTCAAGGGCAATCTTTCAAAGAAAGAATTGCTGGAGATGAGTGCAGGACAGCTTCACACATCCTAGTCTAGTGCTGTGTCCTCAAGCTGTATCTCTAGCTTAAGAAGAAATGACTGTTGATCTTTAAAGCCACTAAGCACTTGGAAGAGTTGAGAAGGGTTTGAGGATCATCACAAGATTTAACAATTCATTAGCAACATTTCCTGGGTGTTCATCATCCAGAGGCAGTACAATGTAAGGGGGCATTCTCGGGCTGGAGAGATGACTCCTATGAGCACTTGTTGCTCTTGCAGAGGACCAGGGTCCAATTCCCAGCACCCACGTGGTGATTCATAACCATCCATCTAATTCCAGGAACTCTAACAGTCACACACATGGTGCACATACATGCATGCAGGCAAAATATTCATGCACATAAAAATCAGCTTAAAAATAATAAAAAAGATCAGCATTCTGCAGTCAATCTGAGGTGAATCCCAATTTTGTTAGTTACATCTTTGTGACTTTGGACAGACAATCTACTAGAGTAATTTAATTTATCAACACAAATGTGATATAACCCCAAAGCTACACAGAGAAACCCTGTCTCAAGGAAAAAGAAAAGTGATATAACAGAACCTACCTCTTAAGAGTTATTTTGAAATTGAACGAGTTAGAGGCAGGCAAGATGGTTCAGCAGATAAAGGTACTTGTCACACAAGCCTGGGACCTACTGATCCTTAGAACATATGTAAAAGTTGACTCCACAAAGTTGTCCTCTGATTCTTACATGCTATGGAATGTGTACCCCTAAACACTTGCATTTTACACACACATACAATAGTAAATGAAACTTTTAAATTAAAAGAATATTGAATGAGTTAATAATAGAGAACAGTAGTTGAACTGTCCTAGGAACATCAAAACACAAACTGGGCCTGGAGAGTTGACTCAACAGTTAAGAATATTGGCTGCTCTTCCAGAGGACCAGGGTTCAAGCCCAGCACCCAGTTCGCTAGCATCTGTAACTAGTTCCAGGGGATCTGGCACCCTCTTATGGCCTCTGTGGGCACTGCGTGCACATGCTGCCTAGACAAGACACCTATACACATAAATAAGTAAATAAGTCTTAAAAATTTAAGAAAAGAATAGACACAACCTTAGATACAGATGTGTCCAATCCACAGCCTGTGGACCATGTGACACAGGATAACTATGAATGTGGTCCAATGAAAAATTGTAAACAAAACATGAGACTTTTGTGGTTTGTTTGTTTGTTTGTTTTTTTGTGATTCAGTTACATGGTTTTTCAATGTGAACCTTGTAGATGACAATGTCATTTCACAGTATCAAAAGGTTGGACATGCCTGATGGACTTTTAAACAGTATTTACATTGTTTGTGATTGTTAGTATTTTATAACTTTTCTCATATGATCTTATTGCAGGGAGTATATATAATTAAGTAGTTAAATGGGAAATTGAGGCAGAAAGATCATGATTGAGGCCATCCAGGCTTGTGACAAGACCCTGTTTCTTTAAAAAAAAAAAAAGGAGTTTAAGTAAAAACAAGTTTTGAGTAGCTAGAGCCCTAGGAAGATGTTCTGTTGAAGAACATGATATTACTAATTATGAAATTCTTGGTACTTTATATTTTATGATAAATTTGAATTCTTTAAAATAAGCATATTTATTAAAATAATTTTTATAAAAAGGAACTATATAATTTCCTCCTCTTCTCTTACAATCCTGCCCACTTTCCACACAACATTCTTTCAGAAACCGAAGTCTGGTCATGTTACTCTTTATGCCTAAAAATTTTCCAGAAATTTAAAATAAAGTTTAAAATCCTTCAATGATGAAGAAGATCTGAATCGTCCCCATTTGCCTTTCCAAGATGCGCCTCTCACTCCCTTGTGCAAGCTAAAGACCCTAGAGCATGTCAGTTCCTTTATCTTTGCACATACTGTTTGTCTTGCCTCAAAAATTCTGTCCCAGACCCCATGCATATGTCCTGCCTAACTCCAGTTTGTCCTTCTGCAGTTAAAATTGTCCCCCACTCAGTGTTCTCCTTACACCCCGTGTTGTTCTTCACAGCAAAACAAACGAACCCCAAAACCATGGTGTGATGCTGTAGCCTTGTGGTTTTTTTTCTTAATGTTCATCTCCCTTGCTAGTCTGCATGTTTCTTGAGATCAGTGGCTGTATTTTTTTTTAATGTATCAGTAAACTATTAACAGTTTTACTGTGTGGTCATAAAAATCAGTTATATGCCAAAATAGCCACACGGTGGCACTAAAGTTTTAGTCAATTGCTATGGAATTATGGTCCTCAAATTTTATATTTTAGGTTTAAAACTTTATCATAGACTTGATTGTATCTATGTCTATATATTCCAAAATTTGTTAAAGCTGAGAAAATGTCTTTATACTTGTACTTTATATAGAGAGACAAGAATTTGTAAGATCACCAGACTTCCTAATACTTTTACCTTGCTAGATTAGTTTCAAAAGTACTTTTTAGAGATTCTTGTAGTACATTTAATTTTGAGCAATAATGAATTGTTTTGTATATCTTTGGTACCCAAGTTAGAAAATAAAAACTTTTTTTGTATCCTTCTTCTGTTCCAGTAAAGCTAGTGTCTGTAATAGACATTGTTTGAATGAGTGAATTATTAGTTCCTTTTTCTGGCCTTGTGAATATTTTCCTACCCAAGTGTCTGGAACCTCTCTGAAGTAATATTTGAATTAGTCTCTATCAGAAATGACTGTTCAGTAGTGCAAGCATATAATAACACAGTTTTCTTTTCTCTTGAAGCTTCACATGGCAGTGCTAACAGTAAGTATGTACTTGAAGACGAAGTCTCAGCTGTCTCTGCACTGACTTTTGGCAAGTGAAGCATTTAGACAGTAATCTCTCCCTTTCTCCTTTTTGGGATTTATGGCATTTTAACATTTTAAAAATTGGATGTTTCAGCTGGGCGAGGGCAGCACACACTTTTAATCCCAGCACTCAAGAGGCAGAGGCAGGTGGATCTCTGTGAGTTCAAGATCAGCCTGGTCTACAGAGTGAGTTCCAGGACAGCCAGGGCTACACAGAGAAACTTTGTCTCAAAATACAAAAGCAAACAAACCAAAAATTGGGTATATCAGAGCTTTAATAAGATATTATAAATATTCAGTATATTTCTTTGGCATATATATTATATGAGAGAACATATAGAATATACCATACTAACACTTAGAATTTCCAGTTTTTGGTTATGTAACAGGTTCAAAGGTTTTTTTTTTTCAAGTTTTTTAGACTTTTTTGAAGTTTTATATATCCATGGGAATAAATGATGGTAGAAAATTGAGATACCATTGATAATATATATATATATTAATTATTTAAATATTTTACAGCTCAGTCATATTAATTACAGATACTTTACATCAATCTTAAGAAACTTCCACATAGTTAGTGTTCATAGACAGTCTAAAGATTCTATGTTCTTGCTGGGTGTGGTGGCACATGCTTTTAATCCCAGCACTTGGAGGCAGAGGTAGGCAGATCTTTGTGAGTTAGAGGACAGCCTGGTCTACAGAGCGAGTTCCAAGACTGTCAGGGATACACAGAGAAACCCTGTCTCAAAAAACAACAAACAAAAGATTCAGTGTTCAATATAAGAGTTAATCCTATCTCTAGCTTGAAATATGCCCAGGTAATACTCAGTTAACAGAGCACAAATTGAACTCTTTACATAGACAGTGTATTCAATGAGCAGTAATCTAGTAAATTTTGGATATTAAGTGTTGTGTATTTTCCCTTAAACAGCTGTACACAAATCCCAAGGAACCTGAGGTAAGATGGTAGTGTATAGATGGTAATGTATGTATACTATATATAAGTATGTTTATCTAAGTCGAGGCTGTAGATTGTTACTGGACTACTGTATAAACAGAGCAATTCATCGTGAACTTTATATTTTATTATAAGTGGAATCAGTTTTATGTGATTTTTTAGAAACTATGGGCTGGGTGGTGGTGGCAGCGCACATCTTTAATCCCAGCACTTGAGAGGCAGAGGCAGGCTGTGAGTTCGAGGCCAGCCTTGTCTACAGCATGAGTTCCAGGACAGGCTCCAAAGCTACAGAGAAACCCTGTCTTTTTGTTGTTGTTGTTGTTTTGTTTTTGTTTTTCGAGACAGGGTTTCTCTGCGTAGTTTTGCGCCTTTCCTGGAGCTCACTTGGTAGCCCAGGCTGGCCTCGAACTCACAGCAATCCGCCTGGCTCTGCCTCCCGAGTGCTGGGATTAAAGGCGTGCGCCACCACCGCCCGGCAACCCTGTCTTGAAAAAACAAACAAACAAAAAAGAAACAAACAAACAAAAAACTATGTAAGAATGTTAGAAAAAAGAAAAACAACATTGATTGGAGAGAAGGCTATCTTGTAACATGTCATCAGTAGTCATATATGTGTAGCAGCCACACACATTTTTATTATTATTATTTAGTTATTTCTTTTTGTGATCTTTTGGAAAAAGAAAAGATACAGCATTATTCTGAGCTCTTTACCGTCTGAATTCTCCCTGTTGATGTTTCTACTGACTTTTTTGAGATCACTAGTTATTTTTTTCCTTTTGTTTTTTTAAGACAGGGTTTCTCCGCGTAACAGTTCTGGCTGTCCTGGAACTTGCTTTGTAGACCAGGCTGGCCTCGAACTCACAGAGATCTGCCTGCCTCTGCCTCCCAAGTGCTGGGATTAAGTTGTGCACCTCCACACTGGGCTTGAGACCTTTAGTTCTTTACTCCTATCTAAATTTGGATCCCTCAGCTTGCTTCGTGCAGCCTGCACTTTGCTGGTCTGCTGTGGTATTCAAGTCTTGGGTGAAGCCTCTTTGGCTCACTGTCTGTACTACTTGTATCTTTTCTAAAGTTTCTTCCCAGCAGAGCCCCACAGTTTAACCCTCTCGGTTGATTCATGTATTTCCTGAGAGGATTAGGACTTTTTGAAGATAAGGGTGGGATTTTCTACCTTGCAGAGTAAATCAAACGTAATAGTTACTTGTGCCACTTTCGTGACTTTTGTACCTGTGACACAGAGATGGAGTGAGAAGCCTTTTGGGTTTTCTTTCTGTCTTGTCTCTCTCCTAGCTCTTTTCTTTTTTTCCCCTTGTTTTGAATTTTGCTTTGTTTTGTTTTGTTTTGTTTTTTTTCTGAGACAAGGTTTCTCTATGTAACAGCCCTGGCTGTCCTGGAACTCACTCTGTAGACCAGGCTGGCCTCAGACTCACAGAGATCCACCTGCCTCTGCCTCCCAAGTGCTGGGATTAAAAATGTATGCCATTACCTACTGCCCGGCTCTGATTTGTGTTTTCAAAAACTCTTGGCTAGAGAACAGAGAATAAAGTTCACACGGATTTGTGATTCACTCACTTTAGAGATAGACCTGAGAAGTCTTTCTAGTGGATTAGAATGTGGAGTGAGAAGCAATCTGAACATGTTTGAAGTCATCAATAACGATTCTTTCAATTTGTATGCAATTGTGTCTACTTGTCTGTATGTGCATTATGTGTGTGCAGTGCCCTTAGACTCCAGCAGTGGGTGTCAGAGTCCCTGGAACTGAGTTCCAGGCAGTTTTGAGCCTCCTGATGCAGGTGCTGGGAATTGAACCCAGCTCCTCTGTAAGAGTAATAAGTGTTCTTAACCTGAGCCATCTCTCCACCCTCAGGATTAATATCTTTGTAAAACAGTTATGTATCTCTACAGTAAAAACAATCAGTTTAGGAATCAAATAATAAAAAATTGCCAACCACTTAAAGATCTCTTTTATTTACAAAATACATTCTCATAGTATTAACAGGCTAGGGTTGACCAGACACGAGAGCAGGCAAGAAGAATAGGCATTGTTTGCTTGACAATTATACTTATCACTGGCTAAGAGGACACTGTGTATCTAGCCTATCTGGAGGGAACCTGTTGCTTTTAGGCACCTGCAGCCATCTCTAATCTGACCCATCTCTTCTATTGTATTCACAAAGCAGCCTTCTGAGCTTGGTTTGATTTTTTTTTTCAAATGGGCTGACCAGTTATAAAAGCAATTCTCTTTTAAAATTAACTTATTACAATCAGTTTTTTAGGTTCAGTATTTTCCCAGGCTTTGCTCACCTGTGATTAAGTTGTATGCTGAAGTATAAGATCAGCAGATCTGTGAGACCAAATCTTGGAGAAAGGTAACAGGAACACTAAAGCAGTTCTTGATCACTCTAACATCCTCAATTCCACATTGTCAAGGATTTATTTTGAACCAGATGAATGAAGGTTATGTTCTGTGTTCTGATATCAACTTATACTCAATCTGCCTCCAGCACCTTCAGTTCTGTCTACAAACTATAGAATTTATCTGGGCAAAACATTGATTTTGAAGCAGAAGTCTTTTCAGTTAGCTTTTAGTGTGTGTGTGTGTGTGTGTGTGTGTGTGTGTGTGTGTGTGTGTGTGTGTGTGTGGCAAGTGTGTGGAGATCAGAGGACAACTTTCAGGAGTCAGTTGTTCTTCCACTGTGGGTCCCTGGGATAAAACTTGGGTCATCAGGCTTATTGGAAGCACTTTTAACCTCTGAGCCATATCACTAGTTTTTGGGTTTTTTTGCTTTTTGTTTTTTATCATCAGTTTGTATTTATTTCATAGAAACATAATTTTCAGTGGAATATATATTACATGTTAATTAAAAAAAATTCAGTATGTATACTTTCTTATATATATATATATATATTATTTTAATTTTTTCATTTTACATACCAACCACAGATCCCTCTCTCTCCCCTCCTCCTACTTCTCACCTCTTCCCTACCCAATCCTCATCCACTCCTTAGGATAAGGCCTCCCTTGGGGAGTCAACAAGGTCTGGCACATCAAGTTGAGGCAGGCCCAAGCCCCTCCCCCCTGCATCAAGGCTGAGCAAGGTGTCCCACCGTAGGGAGTGGGCTCCACAAAGCCAGGTTTATATTCAATAGTATATGTCTCTTATGAGGAAATTTGTTCTCTGTATTCCACCACACCCTTACCAGTTATGAGAGCAGATAGCAGTAATAGTTTTTAGTGAAGGAAATAAGACTTGATGCCATAGACTATAGTTCCTTTTCCCATTTTTTAATGTTGCCATTCACTCCTTTCCTAAATTACCACAGTGGCTTTCTACCTGTTCTTATGGCTTCTGTCTGTATTCTCTCTCTCTCTCTCTCTCTCTCTCTCTCTCTCTCTCTCTCTCTCTCTCTCCTCTCCTCTCCTCTCCTCTCCTCTCCTCTCCTCTCCCTTTCTCCTTCCTTCTTCCTTTCTCTTCTATTTATTTATTTACTTGTTTGTTTGTTTGGGACAGGGTCTCTATGTTGCCCTCACTGTCCTGGAACATACTGTGTGGCCCAAGCTGGCCCCAAACTCACAGAGATCCGCCTGCCTCTGCCTCCCAGGTGCTGGGATTAAAGGCGTGCGCCACCACACCTGGTCCTTCCCTGTCCGTCATAATCACTGTTCTTTTGCTGTGAAGCAACACCCTGTCTAAGGCAACTCTCATAAGAAAAAGCATTTAATTGGGGCTTACTTATAGTTTCAGAGGTTTAGTCTTGCTATCATCATGGTGAGGTGCATGCCAGAAGGCAGGCAGATGCTGGAGCAGTGGTTGATAGCAACATCCTGATCTGTAGGCCATAAAGGGGTGGGGGGAGACAGACAGACAGACACTGGGCCTGGGGTCACCAGTGACGCACTTCTTCCAACAAGGTCACACCTCCTAACCCTTCTCATCCTTCCAGATACTTCCACTCCTTCCCTGGTGACTAAGCATTCAGACACATGAGCCTATGAGGGCCATTCTCATACAAACCACCACACTGTCTGTATTCTTAAGGCATATGGGTGATCACGTCCTGGGATCACTGACCTCTTTAAACCTTCAATAGACTCCAGTGAACTTAGAAAAAATTCAAAATCCTTATTACTGTCAACAAAGTTGCACAACACCACCTCTCATTGCCAGCTTTGGCTTCTTTTTGGATTCTAAAAATACATTCCATCTCAGCTAAGAGCTTTCGCATTACTGTTGTGTCTCCCCAAGGCACTGGCCCACAGGTTTGTATGTGACTGGCCCTTCTTGAGGCTCATCTTAAAACATCATATCTTCAGGCAAGTCTTCCTTGATCCCTCTAAATCTAGCTTGTCTCTAGTATGTCCTTCCTACCATAGCATCTGCTTTGTATTGTTCATGGCACCCATTTTATCTGAAATTATCTTTTGTTGTTGTTGTTGACTAGCTAGAATCTTTGTAGTCTGTGGAAAAAGAAGAAATCTTTTCTGCCTTGTTCACCTTCTAGCTCAAAAGAGACATTTGATAAAACATTCATTACATGAATGAATGATTCCTCAACTGGTAAAATTTAATGGAAATATTTGCTGCCTAACTTATTTTTAGCTGAGAGGAGGGAGATTAAGTTATCATTATACCTGGAACTACTATTCCTGGGTAAAGTAGTACTCCGAGACCAACATACAGAGGAAGCATAGGGATAGTCAATGAAATGTTCCTTTTTACAAGGGGAAAGTCCGGTCTTGTTTCAAAATTAACTTCTTTCTCTGTTCTCTTTGGTTTTTCTAGAAAGTGACTGAGATATACCAATTCAAATTCAAATACACAAAAAAGGGAACCACTATGGACTTTGACAGGTAGATTCTAATTGTTTAGTGAACACAAGAAATGTATAGGAGTGAAGTAAATATAAGCTTCTGTGTGGCCAGAGGAAAGTCTTAGATCTTTTTGTCATGTTCTTATAAGCCCTAGAATACCCCACTATTATGAGTAGAAATTATAATAATTGTTTTAATGTCTGAAGTCTATACACTAAGCTGGTAGGAGTTGAGGCAGTGGTGGATGTCATGGCTCTTAAAATTATATTAATAAAGGGGCTGGAGAGATGGCTCAGTGGTTAAGAAAGTACTCTTCCAGAGGCCCTGAGTTTGATTATAAGCACCTACATCATGTAGCTTACAGCTATCTATAACTCCAGCTCTGGGGAATCATGCCTCTGAAGACATCTGCACTCATGTGCACATACCCACATGCAGACACACCTACACATAACTAAAAATAGTAATAAATATTGAAAAACAAACAAGATTTAATTAAAAATATATTAATAAGGCTGTCAACATGATGTTGGGTAAAGAACCCATATGACTGTCTCTGGCTTTTATTCCAGTGGCACTGTTGGGATCAATCTGTCGGCTTTGTTGATCCTTTCCATCTTCAATACAGGCAGATTGAGCCTGAGGGACATGAAACTCCTGGATTATTTGCTTACATATACAAATACTGTCATCTGCTTATCCATACACATACCATTTTCTGTGTGTCACTCTTTGGGAAACTGATATGCACTGTGGGTTTTTTGTTTGTTTGTTTTGTTTTTGTTTTTTGAGACAAGGTTTCTCTGTGTAGTTTTTGGAGTCTGTCCTGGAACTTGCCTACAAACCAGGCTGGCTTTGAATTCACAGAGATCCACCTGCCTCCTGAGTGCGAATTTTTCTTTCTTTCTTTCTTTCTTTCTTTCTTTCTTTCTTTCTTTCTTTCTTTCTTTCTTTCTTTCTTTCTTTCTTTCTTTCTTTCTTCCTTCCTTCCTT